GAACCCTACACACAGGGGTAGGAAAACGTATTGACTCTTTTTGAAGAATAACATAAAAGAAGTGCAGTTGCGGATAATTTTTTAACTAATCATGGACAAATGTGAAACTAACATTTTCTGTACAAATCCTTACCAAGTACACTGAGAGAAAATTTAAAGAAGCTCTTCATAGAAAAACTACCACCGCAGATGAATAGGGGTGGAGCATATAATTATTACTGTTTAATTTTTTTCGTCTTATCTTTTGTTTACTACAGGTAGCAGTTAAATATTTCAACAATAAGCTTTAGTATTTAATATGTCAAACGCACTTTGTAGAAATAAATGCTTTCGATTGAAATTTATTATTTAAACCATTTGAAGCCTTGTGCTGTAAATTGCGGTTTATGTTTTAGCGGAATGCTCCTGAAAAAAACTATAAAACGAAATGTATCCCTACTGAACAGGAACAAGAATGTTGAACTGATTATATATTATTCGCCCGTATAAGGAAAATTGTAACATTGGAAACAAACGAGACGTCATCAATAGGAAAGAATCAGTCAATAAAAGGGCCCCAATGAGTTTTTAATTGCTCTGTACACCATGTATTATTTAAAAATTGGTGCCCCCAGTGGTATTACAACGCTAGAAACCGGGTTTCGATACCCGTCGTGGGAATAGCAAAGATAGCCCATTGTGTAGCTTTGTGCTTAATTACAAACAAACAATTGGCGTGCACATAGCCCCACTTCCGTACAGACAGCTCCCCGAACCCACAGCCGGAGGCCCACTTTATACCTTCAGGTGACAAACATTCATTTGGAGAGTTTGCCTTCCCACGTTTTTCAGCATTGGATAACGGCCCTGCTATTAAGGCTTATGTAATGTAGTACATGTATTTCAGATTTACTGGAGCCAGCTCCGTGCATTCATAACTCGGGTGAGTGGCAAATATGTAATAAAAGAATCTGTCTAGTTTCATTTTTTCTCTCTCTACTTTGTGACTTGTAGAAACAATTTACTCAGAATTAGGCTAACACATTATCTAACCCATTTCTCTATGGAACTAATCTTTGGCCACAGAACGGAAATAAAACGAGGTAATCGTGAATCGTAATTTGCATTAATGAGGTTATAATTACTTATATCAAAAACTATGTGGCGTGTTATAGTAAAATCGTATATTCCAGCCATTGTCTCCACTCCGCTGTTTTCTTAATATATCAAATGTTTGTTACAATGTTGTCTATCACAGTTGTATCCAGAGCTTTAAGTCATTGTATCTTTTTCGTCAAAGCACACACACAGGCCCGGCATGTCCAGGTGGTTAGGGAGCTCGACTCGCAATCTGCGGGTTCGAATCCCCGTCCCACCAAACATGCTCGCCCTTTCAGCCGCGGGGGCGTTATAAAGTTGCGGTCCATCCGACTATTCGTTGGTAAAAGAGTAGCCCAAGAGTTGGCGGTGAGTGGTGATGACTAGCTGCCTTCCCTCTGGTCTTAAACTGCTAAATTAGGGACGGCTAGCGCAGATAGCCATCGTGTAGCTTTGAGCGAATTTCAAAAAACAAACAAAGCACACACAGGTTGATCCAGTTACTTTAAAACACAATTTGACAAGAAGAATTATTTCTTCTATACTCTGTAATTGCAATACAAGCTGTGATAATTTCTCTTTCGAAATTGCCACAATACGCACTCTTTTAACAATTGCGCTACACTTAAACTATCTAAATCATAACACTTGCATTAAACTTAAACAGTCGTGTATATCTAACAAATGTTACACATATATATGTGAAATTTTATTTTATTTCAATAAACAAATATATTTAAATGTTCTTAAAAAGGAGTGGACTATTTAGAATTCGTAGGTTAGAAATTTTGCGAATTTCGGACTGGACCCTGATCTGTAGTATTACCTTTTTGACATGCATTAGAAACATATGAAATCATTTTCAATGTCCGTATGTAGTGAATAGAATACTGCCATTGCTTCCTTCCCATGGTTGTTCTCAAATGAAAGGAGGTTTCTGGAACATGTAAATGGCACGATCTATCTAAATAAAGTGTGACGAATATTAACATCTCAGTGGAGAAATACTTTAACTTTTGGTCAGTATTAAAATAATAACCTCAGGTCAATTTTTTAAGTTTATGTGGATTAATATAAAGGTTGTATACATTCCAAGAGTGATGTGATAAAAAAACTGTTGAATTATAGCATTTTGGCACTTGTGTATAAAGTTAAAATCATAAATAATATTCAACGTTAAACTGGTACACAGTTAAAAAACTGAGGATGACGTTTTAACGTCGAAACATGTAGAGTCGTCAAATTTTTGAAGGCCATAGATAGGCCTAAATAAAATGTTTTAAACTGTGTACCAGTTTAACGTTGAATACTATTTATGATTTTAAAAAACTTGTTTTCAATTGATCTGTGACTTCGACAACAAACAAACAGAACACTTGTTTTAAATGCCATAGGGATTTCCCATAATGATTGAAAATAAACCAAAGAATCCCCTGAAAACTAAAGGTTTCATTTGGGAGATTGAAGTAAAGATTCTTTCACGAGACAAAAAAATCAAATTCAATTTTAGGATAAAAGTATTAGAATGTTTGATAATAACATAAAATTAGTAAAATGCTTAAAATTCTAATCGTTCATATTGGGCCAATTAAATTATTATTATTTTGCTATTCTAGTCGGAGTTTTAAGAAAGTTTCAATCTCCGTAACAATAAATTCCCAGTTACTACTACATTAAATCGGTTACAGTACGTGAAACCAATGAACAGCTATTGTTTGTGTGTTAAGTAATTAAGGTATAGTCTTGCGAATTTAAACTTCATAAATATTGTTTTAATAACGAATTTTACATAATGCAGCTACGCAGATTTCGAAAATGATATTCATTTTTTTTCTATCCCATAGGGATTTTATACGAACCAGAAAGAGAGAAAAAATTCTTACTTGGATAAAATTATTATTTCGTTCACAACAATGAAGATTTTATATTATTATGTTTGTTAACCCAAAATACAACCAAACTGAAGAAAGGGGCAGAACACTGATGTCAAATGAATATGCATCCTGATTTTTGTTTGTCTTTTAGTGTCAAAACTACGTCTTGTGGTCATTCTTGAGCACCTCGTTTCAATGACCAGATGTAATCAGCCATCATGCTGATGTTCCACCTTCCCTGATACCTCCTCTCCATTTCCCTGATGTTTTGATTAAACATTTCCCCTTCTTCTTCGCTGACGGCACCACGATTTTCACGGGAAAAAAAAGAGTTAATATGTGAGTGTAAGAAGTGAACTTTCAAGCTCATATTACAACCCAATTCTTTGAATTTATCGAGCATGTTATTGACAATATTTTCGTAATTTGGGTCCTTCTTTTTTTTATACTAAAAAATTTGTCAATAATATTTTTAAAGGCAATTCACTCTTGGACAATGAGGAAAGTTGAAAAAGTTTTGGAACTGTTCATCGAAGAAACTTTCCTAATCATCATTTCTATTGACATCAGATTTAGAGTCTCCAGTGAAGTAGGTACGGGTACATCAGGTCTTATAGCAAATTGAAGGTTCTGATAAAAAATTTCTTTTTTATTTCGAGTGTTGTAGCACATTAGCAAAAATAGCAATCATTTCCAAAAGGCAAAGACTTTTTCTTACCTTTAATCTATTGTCTCAACTCGACACAAACGGTGCACACTTTGTGTGGAGCCCATGATTTTACTTATATTAATTTGGTTACGAGCTAATACCAATTTATAAGAAATTAAATACACAGAAAACAATACAATGCCTTCTATACAGTCAGAAAAAAAAATCGTATATTATTTTTGAAGAACTTGTATATTTTATAATTATTTGAGCATACGATCTTATTACTCTGAAAATAAAATTCATGAAAAAAAACAGGAGAAAGGAAAGAGTTTATTGAATTTATTGAATGCTGTTAAAGAATTGTGAAACGAACAACATTTTATTTACACCAGAA